TCTTTTATTGGCCATTGATTTAATTCCACCAGAGAATAGGTACAGTTCTTAAGAGAAATAATGCTTTTCTAAAATAAGTCTTTATCTCAGGTGTAAGACAGGAAATGCTCCTCATATATTATCACCATGAATTTTTCTTGACAGGTTTTCAAGTCCCGTATTCATACCAAAATTTTATCTTGATTTAGTAACTAGACAAAAGGGCTAGCTTCATTTGTATGAACAGTTTTCTTCAAATATGTATGTACTTGGATGCCCTTAAATTCTCCAAGTAGAAAGAAATGCTTTCCACGAAGCTGCTTATTCCTAGTAACCCACATCAGAGCTGACACATGAAAAATGGTGAAATTACTGAAGGTAGTCCAGCCTGAATAAGGACTACCTTATTAGTTCAGGTACTTGCATCTCCCTAATTTTCATATTAATCATGTGTCCATCTTTGTCTGAAATAGGGCCATCATGCTTCATGTCAGAATTTAGCATGTAAGTAAAATTCATAGTGCTTCAAATCCAACTTGAAAATATTTGTGTGAACAGAATGACTGATCTTACCACTAACAAAGTGATATTTTCTAAAATGTTCATTTTTAGCCTTGCAACAGGATAAGTAACATTAAGACATTTATAAAATCAATGATGGCCACCTATACCTCCAACCCCCAAATCAACAATAATACAGTGCTTTTGTCTACAAGATTTGCTGTATACTACAATGTACCACTGTTATATATTTCTCATCAATTTTTACAGTTTCCACTGATTAAATATATATTGACTCATAAAGTATTACCATCACATCAGTTGTCACCAGATGCAAGTGTATGTCATTTAAGTATTAACTATTGTATAAAAATGGCAGCTGGGGTGTTTAGAAGCCGTAATTTGCTACTAGCATTCCTAGGTTTCCCTAAAGCATCAGCAACCTCGTAGAAAGTGCTGTTTGCTCTGTATAAATCAACAATGAAAGAGAAGTCTGCGCATAACTAGTTCTTTTCTTTGGCCAAATATTTTTATACAGCCATAGTAAATAACAGATTTACTGATGTAGAAGAAAGTGTGTTGGTGGGTTAAATTTTCCCGTATTACCAGAAGATGGAAGTTGAGGTCAGCCAAGTTAGCTAAACTGAAAAGAACTATTAAAAATTCAAATGAATATAAATTGCTACTATACAAAACCTATGTAATCAACATCTTTATCTATAAAAATAAATACCATGTTTGCATCATCTTTCGAGATGTTGTGTCTCGAAGGCTATTTTCTGACTCTTATTTTTCATAAAGGTCAATCAAGTCACGAACTACCTAGTTATAGTTCAGATACTTCAAGTTATCAAAGTATCAACTTGTAACAAACATATCTAGAAACATTAAAAAACCACCCTAATCTAGAAATAGGGAAAAAAATCCAAACAACCAAAAAATTCATGTTTTGCTTAGAGAAGAAGAATCCATTCTATACGTTAATTATCCTATCACAATGTGTAGACACTGCCTAGACTACTAAGACCTTCTACGAACTGATAGGTAATTGCTCCTTTGCTGAGTACAGCAGTGTGCAGCAGACAGAAGCTGTGAGGGAAGTCATCTTTCCTTGCTAATATAACATGTGGAACTTGCTGCTACTGCAACACTTAATGCTTATAGTACAGAATCATCTTTAATGCAAACACACATTTTCTGCCTTGCTTCTATGTTTTCCATTATAATGCAACATAAAAACAGTGTACATTTCATTCCGTCCCTATGAGGTTTGCATAAGCCGGTCCAAGTCAGACTAAATATTGTATTGCTCTTATTACAGTGGATAAATATTTTAGAGTTTAGGAATTAAATATTTTATTTTTCAGTATGCTCTCTGCAACTATTATGAACTTTGTACAGTTTCTTCATTCACAGGAAATCTTTAGGGTTTCCTTTTCTAAATGCAATGCTGCTAGTTATTTCCCCACATAGAAGCAGATCACAGTTAACAAATAAGTTCAATAAATCACTTTATACTTAGTGTTAACAAGAATGTTATGTTTCTTCTTAGAAAGAGACTTTTCCGCCAGGCATCTATCCTTTATTATAACAAAAGTTTGCAAACAAAAAAATGAATCAAGTAAATGTTACATTTTTAAGTATATAATTTCTCTCTTCATTTTTATAATAGCCTAGATTTTCTTGGCATTTGTCTCTTTACTAGACACAGATATTTCTCACACTAAACTAAGACAATATATCCTAAGAAGAGCATGTCCTGAGCTGTTTGATTTGAATTTTCCATGAAATAAGAAACTAAGAAGCTGTTTATACATTTGCCTTAAAAGAGGAAGACTAACTATGGCAACTAATTTATTAATACATGAAGTTCGTTGTCCAATTATTAAAAGTACAAAGAGACCAGGGAGTAATTTAAATGTCTAATGCACCTCAAAAAATTTTAAGGTTAATTACAATTCTAAGCAAAGCTTCTTTAGATAAGTCCCTTTGGGTTTTTGCAGGTTTAAATAAAATCATAACAATAACATTACCTCATTGGCCAGCTCCAGGAGCACTGGGGCAGCTCCATTTTTCACCACTCCATTCAGGTACCTAGACAAGACAAAGCCAAGTGGTACCGCAGTGACAAGAAAAGGCTAGCATAGACTTGTCAGCATCCCCTGTGTGTACACATTTCTCCTGGGCAAATGCCATGTTCAACTCCTGTTGAAGTATGCTACTGTCATAGGGAAGTATCCAAGGGAAAAGCATAACAAAAGCAACTTACCTTAACACCAACTAACTAAGGTTGGGCAAGAGGTCTGAGCTCATCAGTTTTGCTTGTTTTCAAGTTTTAGAGGTGGTTTCTAAAGAACAATGCATTTGACTCTGGTTTTGTCTATATCACAGCCAACTGTCATGTGGAAAGGAAATTTAATGGCTCTCAGTTTGAAAAGTATCCATGCACCCATCTCCCACCTTTTTCTTGATCTCTGCTTCATAGGGCTGACTGAGACCCTCTCAAGAAAAGAATGGAACCGACTTGTCATAGGGGGTCAACACATCTTTGATAGGCAATATAAGTCATCTTATCTGCCCTGGATTTCTGTAATGACTTCTACTCTCATCATCACCTAACCCACCACTAAACAAAAAAATAAACAAAAATCTCCAAATACACCTCAGATATGGAAAATGGCATAGGTTTTTAAAAACAGACATTGGAATGTGCCATTTTCTACTTTAAACACTTGCCATGTCCTACATTAAATCTCAACATTAAACCCTAACCACTTAACAGTTCTCCTGAGTTTCTTCATAATCTACGTACTCCCCTCTCCCAGTCTCACTTCTAGTTGCTATTTCCTGCCCTTACCCCTCATGGATAACTTACCATTCATTTCAGGTTAACTTGCCATTCAGCTCAGATATCATCTTCTTCAATCCACCACCATCCAAGAACATGGTATAAGTGCTCCATAGTGACGGAGCAGCACCCTGTGGACCTCTCTATCACATAAAACAGCACATCATAATCCCCCCTTATCCTCCAAGGATACATTCAAGACCCACAGTGGATACCTGAAGCCATGTACAGTACCAAACTCTATATATACTATCGAGTTTTTTCCTATACATACACATCACAAAGTTTAATTTATAAATGAGGCATAGTAAGAGATTAACAATAATAGAACAATTATAATAACATACTAACATAAAAGTTATATAAATATGGTCTCTGAAAGTAGCTAATCGAAATATACCCACACTTCCTACAATGATGATGGGCGATAATACAATGTTTGTGTAGTGAGATGAAATGAGGGGACCACCATAGGCACAGTGCCACAGCATTAGGCTACCACTGACCTGCAAAGGATAGGTCATGTGGAGGATCATCAAGCTAGGAAGATGCTGGTTTATAATGTGTGGGTTAACCAAAACCACAGAGAGCAAAACCTTGACTAAAAAAAGTACTACTGTATTTGTATGTCTCAAGCTCATCCCCCATTGTAATACTGAAAGCCTTGTAAGGGTTGAAGAATTCTATTTTATTCAATTTATCATATGTAGCACTGCTCTTGGTTTATAGTGGATGATTATGTAATACATGTACATATATACTTTTTTAAATAAATGAATATATGTTGTCCAAAAACCCAAAATCAAGGATGGGTATTTTCTTTATAAAATATTATTTGCATGAGTATATCTAGGGTATTTGTCTTATAGTAAAAAAATAAAATCAATAGATGAGGTCTTCCATAGAAATACCAGAAGCACATACTAAATTACATTATTTCATAAGTACATTTCCAAAATGTACTTATGCTGTAAGCAAAGTAAGGTAAAATCAAGTTATTTAAAGTAGGGAGAACTTTAGGATCATTATAACCTCATATTATTTCTAAGAACTCCATTTTATGCATACTGAGATGCTTCCTGAATATATTATATAGCAAACTAACAGAGAAATAGGATTTTCAGATGCCATAAGAAAAAAATGAAGAAATAAGGCAAGTGTGGCTTAGAGAAGTTCTTGGGAAGTAAGTCAGTTGAGAACCTCAACTCACAGAAACAGCTCGTACTGAGAGGCCTGCTCAGGAGCAGCCGATCACGTGTTTGTGGCCACGAGAGTGCACTTTATGTCAGGGTATTTGATCTGACACTGACATCAGGATGCCTTTACAATTTTCTATTTAACATTCAAGTGTTCCATAAGTGTTTCTTGTGGGGTTTTTTATTATTTTTTATTAGTACATGTTTGAAGTACAGCATATAATGACTACATTCCTTGTAGGGAGTTGGTACATGTACATAACACATCAACTCTTTTTTCATCACCTTCTCCCCACCCCCATCTCTTGATTCCCTTCTCATTTAGGAAAGATCTTTCTCTATTTGTATTATCTACCTTTTGTTTTGCTCCTTATTTATATTTTGGGTTTCACATATAAGAGAAACCATGTAATAGTCAAGCTTTCCACAAGTAGTTCTTTTTTTTTTCTGGTACCAGGAATTGAACTCACGACCTTGTGCTTGCCTGGCAGGCACTGTGCCACTGACCTAAATTCCCAGCCCCTCCCACAAGTAGTTCTGAGAGCCGTAAGTTAGGCCTTATTCCAAGCTGAAGAAGCAGTAGGGAACCAAATACTCCTGTTTTTCACCATCACAGAGATATTCCACTGGTTGAAGAGTTAACAAAAACAGAGGGGAAATAAATACATACTGTAATGATACATGCTAGGATAAAATTTAAATTTTGATCAGCTGGTCAGGAAGGCAATCTCTCTCTAACTAGACTGTAAGTTCCTTGGGAAAGGGCTACACAAGCACACAATAGATGCCTCACAACGATGTGAGCTGTAATTGGGATTCAAAGATGTTCTCTTGACCTCCATTGTGCCACGATACTACAGTACTATCTTACCAACATGAAAACTAGTCTTTGCTGGAAATCTAACACTGGGTCTGTAATACTTATTTTAAAAGAAAAATCATAATCCTTTGAACAAGGATTCAGCAGTTGCCTGGCTTTTCAGGTTCATGTCACCCTTCTCCATTTGTTCTCTACGCTCACCCCTGAAAACATCAGCGCTCTGCCACTGTCTTCTCTGCATCTAGAATGCTCTCCTCTTCCTAATAAACTGAGAAGGTCTTTCATTTCTAGATTTTATGCATTCACATCGCTCCTGACACCCCAAATGGATAACTGATGGAACGCCACCAGTAGTCTGTGTACAGTCATACTGTGTCAGCACTTCTCACTATTATTTTACATAATTTAGGTACACAGCTGTTTTCCCACTAAATACTCATAGAAGAGTTGAAGGCAGGTACTTTGTCATTCACATGTGTATGATCAGTTGCTAGCACAGTCGATGGGACACAGTGAATCCACAATGAATGGTGCTACTTAAACAATAAAGTGGTATGGTTTTCAGAAACTGTTTTTACATGTACTGTCAATATCGTATTTGAACTAAACTTTTCTCCCTGTGGACATCTGAATAAAATTCAACTGATCAAATTCTCTAAAGCTACTGAAGTTGGTTCCTTAGTTAGCATGTACTGCGAGAAGGGATGAGATGGGGACAGCAATCCTAAAGTTTGTTATTGACAGGGTTATAAATCTGACTATGTAGTTGTGCACATCTGGTCAGACACACCAATTCAGATGAACTTCAATAAATTTTACTAAGAACGTTTCCTGCGTGGAAATATAATGACATTAGTCTTTCATTAGTATGAAAGAATAAAGAAATCCTTTCAAAATGAACACTACAACATGAAGAACTGCAGAAGTTTCCCAATAATTCAAAAGGCTGAGAAAACATTTTCTACTGCTATCTGCAGCCTATGAAGTTTTAGTTAGCCATAACACAATCACATTAAGTATAGACACTGAATTCTTAATTAACATCATCTCAGTGCGAGCAGGAATGCAGACATAAAGTCCCTCCTCTGCCAGTAGGAATGTCGCCTGGACATCTCTAGACAGTAATTTAGTAACATATTTTTTTAAATGTTCACATTGTTTGCACCAGTAATTACACACAGAGAAATAAAGAAACGACTCCAAGGTGCAGGCTCACGTGTCAAGATGTTTACTGCCGTATTATTTACAACAGCAAAATCCTGCAAGCACACGAGCTCAATGGAGGGATAACTCAGTAAATTTTTATACTTTCCCATGATGAAGTAAGGCAACCAATAAACAAAAGCTTTTTATAAAACAATATTATACCAACTACATTTTTCCCAATATAAAATTCACGATTCATAACTGCACCCAACCTCATTTATATAAAAATGGGTTGACAAGAGACTGGAATGAAACTTTACCCAGTAGTTAGCTGAGCAGCATAACTATGGGCAATATTCTTTTTTTTTTCCCTTCCCAAGGTTCTTTATTTTTCCCATTGGGGGATATTACTTTTACAAAAGAAAAAAAAAAGTAAGTTGTTATTAAGGTTTTCAAACTGCTTAAACATGCCTGATATTACATACTTTGCCTTCATTCTAGTTAGGGGAAAGCAACCAAAACCTGGGTGACGGCCAATTTAACTTACTAAAAACAGGGACCCACATGTTTAAAACAAGAGGCTAGTGAGGTCCATGCATCTGAAAGGTAACAAGGCTGTTCCCAAGGGGCAAGAGCAGAGGAGCTGGGGCACAGGAAGAAACTGGTCAGGCTGCTCTCTTCCAAGGCCATTACAACCTAACTTCATGTTTTTGCTTCAAATACTGTAATTCCTCAGAATAACTGAGGGTCATGTTTAAATAAATGTTAAGAAATATGAATATATTTCTTTTGTATCATTATTACCTACTCGACTGTCCCTTACTGATTAACTTAAAATTTTTACTTCTAACCTAAACTACCCAGATAATATCCCCCAAAAGTGTTTTCAGACTTTAATAATTAAATATGCTAATAAAACTGAGATTCAAAGTAGTGGCATAGAAATTTTAGAAATCATCTAATTAAAAGAATAGGAACTCTTTTCATAATGAGGCAAATGAGTATCAGAGGGTAATCCCATCACCTTTGACAAGGGTTTCCAAATTTTAAACACTATACTCTAAAATGTTCCATTTTCCTCTGCTTTCGTTACAAAGCTTTAAATCTAGTCATAGAACCATGATTTTATATGACAGACTCGTACCATGTACTATAAACAAGAATGTATTTTGGGGTGGTGTACGGAAAGTAACTTTTCAGTCTTTCTTTGCACGTTTCACAGGATTTCATTAGTCATTCTTAATTTTATAGTGTATGATTTAAGTTATGACTTAAATATTAATGTTAACTTTACCAAGGTGGTAATGAATTTTAAAGAAATTCCTTCAAATCTTAAAAAAAAACTTCTTAAGGAGGAACTCTGCTGGGCCCACAGTGTTTGGGGAGGGACGGAGTGAAGAATAGTGTGTGTACTTTCAGTAGATTTAATTATGTGAAACAAAAAGTATCTTCTACTATCTAATGGAGAAAATAATTTTTTAAAAATTTAACTCAAAAAAATGTAACTTCAATAATTTTCCTCTTCAATATCTACATCTCAATTCTTTAAAAATGACTTTAAAGAAATATGACACAAGCATTATTTACACATATTTATTTCATTCATAAAATTTTTGTGCATAAAAATCATTAATTTAAATCACTGGTGTCACTCTCACCACAGAAAGGCTGACCTGTCAATCCTGAGTATAATTTAACAGCATATTTCAAACAATTTTTCTTTCCAATATACCCTTGAAATATTTAGGAATCCAACCATTTCTAATGTAAACCATTACCTTTAGTGTTATAAATCATTCAATCATACTATAATGACAGTACAAATTTTAGAATTAAAAAAAACAGAGCTACTTTAAAGATTGTTTTGTAACAAGAGGTTGAAAAGTCTTAATAAAGGTGAAAATAAAATATCTTCTTTGAAAATTATGTTGCTGATTTAGTACCCAAGCTTTTCATTTTAAGATACAAAACCCATTTTAAACTGTGGCAGTTATAGAATGTATCTCCAAATGCCCTTACTTGATACATGTCTTTCCTTTAATTTCCAAAATAGCTAGCTCAATACCTATGATATAAAACACAACTACATCAAAATCCAATCTTACTTTTTCTACTTGCTCATCTAAATATAAAATAAATGAAAACTATTCTGAAAAGTTTCACATATACATGCAGATACATGCACATAGGAACATATGCATTTGACAAGAGTCTATACTTACTATAAAAGTCCCAAAGAGCCAAGTGAGAGTCACTAATATTATAACTACCTCCCACAGAGTTTGTATTCATTCACACGCACACACCAACACACTAAGCATTACCACATTCTTTAATTCTATATAAGAAAGATTTTGAAAACGTATTCAAAAAAGCACTAAATGACAGCTCCAAAACACAATGTATTGGGATATGATATAGAAAATTGATTTCATAATCACTAATTTATTCATAATTATTATAATTAATAGGTGCTATGATACCCTCTAGTGGGGCAGGCAGGTCATACCTCTGGTAATAACTTTCAATCGCCTCCGAAGTATGATGTTTGCTATGTGTTCTTTTAATATGTTTCTGAAACAAAACAAAAAGAAAGCTTTATGTTGTGTCACGGATTAAGTTCAAGAACAAGAAGGACATGTTTCTTGATCCCAATGACTAGCGTATAGGGCAAACTAAATAATAGCTTGGGGATTCAGGTAGTGCTAGGACTCTTTTTCCTTCTACATCATGAACTTATGCATTTTAATCTCTATTGCTGGCTGGGATGTCTTCAGACTGCACCACAAGGTACAGTATATATGTAAAAGCCAACAGGGTCATAGTAATTGAATCTAAATAAGTTTGCTTAGGGCTGCAGAGGGCAAAGAAAAACTTGTTCCCTCTTTCAACCTTTGTATTAATTTTCCTTCAATTCAATTCCTTCTAAGTCCGCTGCGCTCTAGTTTTACAATCCAATTGCCATTTTTAACCAGGAAGAACATTGCTTAAAAACAACTTATTTGAAAACTACAAAAAGTAATTCCATAGAGACTTGCCACTTGACTGACACCTGTCATCTCATGATAAATGACTCCATTTTCTGCCTCTCTTGCCTTCTGCCACTCCAGCAATGGTCATTTATCATCATCTCTGTCAGCAATGGAAAACGGCACTGACAGTGCAAGTCAGCAAACATTTAGCACATGGAACCACGCAACACAGGGAAATTATTATTGTCAGAATAATAATGGTTTAGCATAATTTATTACAGGTCCACCAAATAAGCAAAGGCTAGATGTTATTAGACAGATGGATGGGTAGGCTTGGCAGGCCTCCACTGAGACGCAGGCGGTGCTTGATGTGGAAAGGAGAACATCCTCCAACCCAATCAGAGAGCTGGCAGTTCAATTACAAAGAAATAAAGGGACATTCATCATTCAATTAGGCACCTGTCAGGCCTCACAAAGGAGGAAACTTCTAACCTGGTACTCCTGGGAGAAGATACTCAGCAGAGTGGCCTGCGATTGACTGGAACAAATAAAAGAAGGACAAAGTTAATTACTGGAGTGCACAGCAAAGAAACAAAAGAGAAAGCAGCTTCAAAGGTAGGCCTGCTGCCCTGTAATCTAACAGAACACGAAAACAAGTGTGGAAAAGTTGTTCCAGATGAACACCTCAAACAAAGGCTTCCTGCTGCTAGGTCAAGGGGAGAGAAAAAGGGAAAGGGGAAAATGCGAACGTTCTCAAGGCAGGTATCACATTATTCGGATCTTTTTTATACTTTGAAAAAAGTGAGAATCATATCTGTAGTATGCAATGGTGCTAACAGTGACTACAGTGAATTAAGGTCTTTTTCCATAAATAACTGAGAGACTTCAGTCTCATATGTAGTAGAGAACACACAGCTCATTCATAGACAACATCCTGCAATTTATTCTATTAGCAGACAGGTATCTTTTTCTGTAGCTATCACAGGTTCAGGGGGGAAACTTTGTTCTTTCCTAGAAGTAGCACAGAAACCACTGGAATATTCCCACTGACACCACTGTACTTTGAAAACAGAAGCTTTCCCAGCAGGAAGCAGAGGTCCTTGGAGTGCATCATTCCCGAGGACTGCTGTAAGCATTATTCACCTAAGGCTATGCAGTGTCAAACACTTGGCAATGAAGCAACCTGGAAAACAGTCCTCTCAAGTGGGAATTTTCCTCTTGCAACTGTTAACACTGAGAAATGGAACGGAATTTTTCTTTCCTTTAAAAAGCAATCAATGCTCTATTGCTACTCTTTTTGACTGCCCTCTAAGATTAACCTGATCATATTTTGAAAATTGTTATTTCTAATATACTTCACTATTAAATTCTGACTTCTACAATAGAAGGGATTATACTTTAATAATTTGACTTTTATAGTATGCCAAAATTCTGTGAAATAATTAAAATTTCTCTATTTATGAATAAACACTCAAGTACATCACAGAAAATTTAAAAAGCGAAATAAAAATGACACTATATTTGTTTACTCATGGTCACAGGATTGCATCTTCTGGACACCATCATAGATCTGCCTTCTCATCCTCTCCATCTAAACGAAATTACATGAGTAGGTGAACAAAAAATACCATAGACATTCACTAAGGAAAGCTCATACATAATTATAGAACTATTTCAATAAGTCAAAAGTAATGAGAAATGATTGAATACAATTATAAATTCATTACAGTTTGATTTTTTTCAATTTCCCTTTAATATTGGAAACTACCCTGAAAAAGCCAATTTTGTGTATAAAATCTTTCTATTATGCTTGGCTTGCCTCAGCTTAACATGCAAATCACATCTATGGATAGGGTTCTGACAATAGGCTTCTGAGGGAAAAATGGGAAAATGAAGGCCAGATCTTCGAAAACCGCTTAATTAAAATGTTAGGAATTAATGTGCAATAAATAGACCCCACCTCATTGTATAGCAAAATAAACTTATGCTATTAACCATTTAATAGCACACAGACTGTCAATCTCTAGGTTCCTAAAGATATAATGAAAATAATGCATTTGGAGTGACTAATGAGGTAGAAACTAACTGTAAATAAAACAAAATGGAATTGTAGGTACCCAGAATGGGAAGATTTAAGAGACAATTGCGAGATAAACAGTTAAGGTGAGATGTGGAGATACTGAGAGTACAGTTTAAATTGAAGATGACACAGGATAGCCCTTTAACCAGAAAAAGTGTCTCTAAACTGTGTAGAAGTGAATTCACCTAAAAACCATGGGCACAGCTTATGCAGCAATCCACTTTCTCTGTGGCCAATAGGGCTAGAGAGAAGATTCTAGCTTACAGTAAAAGTAAACCTGGCTGAAACTAAAAACAGAAGACAATTTATATGTTGTACCAACAAAAAACACACTAGGGTCCAGAATGTTCACAGAACTAAGCAATTTTGCTAGGGAGTTTGAAAGCCCACAACCCACTCCTGTAAATGCTGACCTTACAGAACAGGGTTCTGAACAAACGCCACATCATAAAAGAGCAGAAGAGTAGTTTTGGTACAACCAAGACTTTGATCCCTGTGTGTATTTTTTACATTTTATTCCAGTATGTTACTGCTGAGAAAGTGCACCAGAAGGATAGACCGGACAGGGAAGGAGGGGAACACAGGGATACAGGATCTCAAATCTACAGGTCTAAAGAACTCACCAATACCAGCTTCACCTCACCATACTACTCCCTTTATTTTTAAGATGGGGAAATGAAGAGAAGTTAAGGAAAGCACACAGTCACACAGCTAGATAGGCGGTACACCTGTGAATCGAAATCCAGATTCAATTCCAGCACCTAACCCTTTATCCGCATGGAAACCTGCCTTCTTACAGTCCCAGAAATCAGTCCTGCAAGTGCTATATGCTAATATCCCAGCTTAAACATTTACATGATGTCACATTACACTCCAAACAACTCTGAAAGATGAAGCAGGTTGCTTTGTTTGATAGAAAATTGAAGCCACAGGAGGTCAAGTGCTATGACCAAATTCTATGGCTTCAGAAAATATTCCTTTCTTGAAAAATCAAATTACAGTTTTCCCTTAATTAGCTACATAAAAACAATCTTCTTTTTGTGTTAAAAGATAAAGGAGCTATGGACTACAGAGAACAGCAAAGGATTAAAAGACTGTTGGGTCATTTCCATTATTCTGCCTGCAACTAAGGTGTATTTTAACTGCCACCACTGCAACAAGTATCTCTATCTGATTGTGCATGTGTCTTTTACTCAAATGGTGTTTACTTCATATAAAGCAGCTTTGAAGCCTTCCCCAAACATGCTAATAAATTACCTGATCTTTATAGGATAGCACTCTCTATAAACGTGTTAATTTAATGAAACAATATTTAATGAAAAGTTTCTGGCAATGAGCAGGTAATGGCAAGTGGATGAGCTGAGTTGCTAGGGGTCCTGCTGGGCCCTTGCAGCATCTAGGGGTTGACTTTGATCCTGGCTTCTGGGACATAACAGATGAAAGAGTGGTGCAAAACAGCGAAACAGACTCTCAGAGATTTGGTGTCCAGACACTGGAATATAGCAATTTGAGCAAGAGAGAAAGGATGAAACTGGGTCCCTGGAACCCAGCAATGATCTGAAATGAGAACTGAAGTTCACGGTGAGAGTAAAGAGAGAAACCTCAACAGAGAAGAAGGAGGTGGCGAGCGGCGCTTTTTCCCTGAGCCCTACTCACTGCGTGGGAAGGGCAGCTAGACTGGCACATGCACAGTGACTACTGGAGACCCAAGGGGTCTTCATGGAGAATCATACCAATGGAAGAGCAGCAGATGCAGAAGACTGCAGTGGCTGGTGAGGTATTCGGGTTCAGACGTCCCCCAGGAAAGGGTGATTGGCCTGTAGCCATCTTGGAGAAGGGCCAACTGAGCTCAGAACTGCTTCATGGTGGTTCCATCTATTGGCTCCTAGTGTCAGGGTGAATGGAACCAAGTACAAGCTGGCAGGAGGTCAAGGAACTGACTTCAAGCTGGCAAGAGGCTGAACAAACCAGGTTCCAGCCTCACAGCCAGAAACCAGCCTGAACCTCAGTGGGACTAAAGCTGCAGCCTTGCCAGCATTATCTACTACCCTGCCATAAATCTACAGCTGTCTTGCTGGGATTAATCAACATATATCTAGGCTCTGTCTGTCCCCTCTGTCTGGCAGCAACACTAGAGATGCCCTGAAGTGGACTTTTCTTTTCTTATCTTTTCTTCTTTTTCTTTCCTTTTTTTGTTGATTGTTCTTGTTTTTATGAGTGTAAACACCGCTTCTAGTTTTCTTTTGTTGTTCTGCTCTTGTTTTTATTTCTTCCTTCTTTCTTTCCCTCCTATTTGCCAAAGTTCTTGTAATCTTCTTTTGTCCTCCAATCTTGCTTCTAATCTCTAGTTTTTCTAGTTCTCTATTTTTCCCCGAAACCCCTTTTAAATTTTCTCCCCTGAGGATAAAATCACCACATTGAGGGTGTATTTACTGTATACAATTTTCTGGTATGTCTCAGATTTTGTTATATAACTACAAATATATTTCATATGGTTAAAGGTGGCAAATTAATAGTTAACACAGTTCGTCATTTTCTACGTTGTGTTTGAAGCTACTGTTATTGCTGATTGCACTATTTTAGCCAAGGTGATATAACTGTTCTAATCTGTTGTTCTTCCTGGTATGGCAACACTGAGATTGCCTAAGGGTCATAAACAATATAATAGGCCAGTGCAAGGAACCAGGGGCTAGGCCAAATAAGGAGTAATTTCTAATCCCCAATAAACTGAAGAGGTAGTATCCTGCAACATACTCGCAATGTAAAAGCCAGCTACACTTGGAAGACATCTCTGGTAAGTAGTCATTTCTTAAGGGTTCTAAATACTAGGAATAAAGCTACCTGTGATAAGCAATTTCGAAGCATCAACCTAGGAGTTAAACTAAAAAAAAGAACAAAAGTAAAGAAATTAAGAAGACACTTAAGCAAGATGCAACCCTAGACTTTCAGCTCACCAAATGCAAACTCAGGAGTGAAGAGGTGAAACAATTCAAAAGCCACCTATCTGGACTCTCTAAAGTGGGAACAGTGGAAGTAACAAAGCAGATGGATGAGACTCTAGTAAAAATCAAATGAGAAATAATCTCTCAGCCCAGCATGGTGGCCCATGCCTGTAATCCCAGCACTTGGGAGGCTGAGGCAGAAGGATCACTGCAAGTCTGAGACTAGCCTGGGCTACAAAGTAAGCTTACGGATAGCCTGAACTGCATAATGAGATCTGGTCTCAAAAAGACCAAAAGGAAAAAAAAAAAAGATTATCTCTCAGATAACTACAGAGATGGTGACCACAATAAGTACAGAGCAGTTAGAGATGAAAAGTTTCTGAGCAGTAAAATACTGTATACTCTGTGTAAAATCCAGATGTCCACAGGCAGAATTCATTCTGATCTATAACTCTGTTTTTATGCTATGTCAGATAAATATGAAAATGTGTGTATGTGTGTATATTTATACACATA